GCGCCGCCGCCGCGACCCGCTGCGCCTCTCGACTCCCACTCTCCAGGCCGGCGGCCAGCATGCTGATGGCTTTCTCTAGGGACAAACACATGGTGAAGGTCAGTCTCGGCCTCGCGTCAGGACGCGTCACACCACACGTGGGAGCCACTGGCCAGCACAGCCTCCCCTCCTGCTGGGTGCAGGCCATGCAGATGGTCTCCCTGGCAGGCCTCAGCGCCCAGCACCGGGGAGCGCCCGGCACCGGGCACCGGGGAGAGCCCAGCACCGAGGAGCGCCCAGCACCAGGCACCAGGGAGAGCCCAGCACCAGGCAGCGCCCAGCACCGGGCGGCTGCACTGCCCAATCCTGGCGGCCTGACCAACCGCAGTTAGCCCAACAGCAGAGCAACTTCGCACGAGTTAGTCACGAGCCCCTGGACTTCCTGTGGGGGCTGGGCCTCCCTTACGATGACCCTAAAGGCCTCCGTGGGGCGCACCCACAGCAGGGCTACCGTCTACAACAGCAGGCTGGAAGTGCCTTACCCGCTAGCCTCACAAAAGGACTAGGCACACAACGTAGAGGACTGGTTTTTGCGTGTTTAGCCCAGAGGAAAGGGAGTCGAAGAGCGCGATGCACAGCTCTGCTCTCTCTGCAACGCGGTCAAGAGCAAGAAACCAAAGACAAGTCACCGCAGGCGCCAGCGCATCTGAAGGTCCAGCGGCACCTGGTCCCCGAGATGACGGTGGTCGGCCCCTTTGTGAGCTACTTTGTTACTTGTCTTCCTGGATCATTAAGTTACATCCAATTATCCCCCTCTGACATGGTGACTTGAGGGTCCCGTATTACTAAGGGTGACAGACTGGGGAGGGGGCTCTTGCTACACTCGCCAGCCCGCCGCCAACCCCAGACACCGGCCGCGGGCAGGGGCCGCGTGTCCCCTGAGGTCTGCAGGCTGCACCCCGCCAGCGGGCTGTAATCAACACGAGCTGGATGAAAGGCCCCGCCACTCAAGCCAACAGGAAATGCTTCTAAATGATTCCACTTACACGATCCTCTTATGAAGAAAGCCAAAGCTGCCTTGCTGAGCCCACTCAAATGTTCCGGGACGCTGGTGGGGAACGGGGGTGTGGGAGCCCCAACTTACCCGCCAACTGCCCGCCCCCCTGCCCGCTCGTCTGCCTCCCCCGGCTCCCCGTGTCCTGCGCTTCATGTCACCACGGGCCGCTCTGGGGGAGCCACGCCCCCAGTGCCGGCGACTGTCCTGAGTGAGCCCCAGGACAGTCTCTCTCACCTCCCCGGCACTACCAAAAATGGCCTGGAACGGGGAGTGGGGGTCACAAATTCCGAGGGTCTGCGGTCGTGGCCTCCACGGGCTTTCCCAGAAAGCAGGGGAGTGAGGACAGCCGGAGACCGCAGGCAGGCCAGCGCCCACCTCACCCACCCCGTGTGCGTCGGCGACCTGACCCGCCCGCCCGGAGCCCCGAGTTCCCGGAGGCCTCCCCTTCTCCTCTGGGGGCGGGGCCTCCTACCGCGACATCGTGAGCGCAGCGGGCACTAAAAATTGCCTGGCGGGTTCTTTATAAAGCTACTTCACGTTCCAGTACGCACGTGTGTGCCCAGCTCCGCACGGGCGGCGGGAACGGGGACGCGTACCGTTAGCCAGGATCTTGGGCTTGTGAGCCGGGCTGAAGCAGATGTTATGAAAGATGAGAAGAGGCAAGTGCGGGCCGCCCCGGTGCTTGTGTCTGCTCATCTCTGCCAGCAGGTCCAGGCAGCCGGGCAGCCTGAGGATCATCTGCTGGCCGTCTTCGCCGAGGGACAGGTGCAGGAGCAGCTTGAGCCACAGGCCCGCCAGAGGGCTGAGCTGCTTGCTCCCCCCTTTGGGCAGTGACAGGGACAGGAAGTTCTGCAGGAAGTTACTCTGAGGGGAAAGACAGAGTGTTACTTTCCTTCGGAGTCTTTTCATTGCCTTCCTCGTCCCTTGGAGACCAGTCGGCTGGGCTTCTGTTCTTCTTTTCCCCAACTTCAAATTCTCCCTCCTCCCAATTCCTTCCAAATACCCATGCACATGATTTCCAGGTGTAAGTGAAAGAGCTAAGGAGAACAAAATAGTGATCACATTTTAATTTGTACTAATTCTTTCATGATACGGACAGACTATGGCGAGCGCAATTATTTAGGATTGATAATCCAGTCTGGGGATTATTTCAGGCCTCCGGGGTTTCCTCTTTCCGTCTGCCTTCTGGCAATTTTGCTCCTCGTTAAAAGCTGTCCTATGGGAAGGACGAAGAAACAACCCCCCAGTCAGTCTGGATACCAGTTACCAACCCCGGGAGCGGTGAGAACATGGGTATCGCAGTGGCCACGGTGTTAGAAAAAAATCTGTGGCTGCGGCTTATGGTCACTTCACCCCAGCTGCGATTTCTTCCAGCTGCAGCTCATTCTAATCAACTTACAGAAACTGGGAGAAAAGAAAGCTATCGCTGGAAATACTGGCGTGAAACCCCTCCCGTGAAAGGCCACCTAACATTAGCTGCACGGAAGAAGATAACTGAGGGTCTAGAATAATCCATATGCAAACAAAGGGAAAAGGCTCCAAGCTCCCCAAGGACTAGGATCCCATGGCCTGGGGAGGGGGCGGGGACCCCCCCCCCCCCCCCCGCGGGAGGGCCAGCATGCAGGAGCGTGAACACCTCTGTCCTGACTGCCCAGAACTCCTCGTCTCTTTGTTCAGTGATCTATTCAGGCTTATTTCTTGGGCGCTCTTGGCCCGAATTCAAGATGTTGGTTGAGTCTATATAATAACCTTAACACTTACGCAAAAGGACTCCAAGGAAAGAAGAAACAGCAGCGACATCGCCCAGGCAACAAGCACACTGCAAAGGCCCGCCCACTCTGCCCAACACTCTCCCCCCACCCCCGCCCCCCTCGGCCCCCGTACAGCCGCTCAGCTCACCCCTTGCCTCCCAGACAGGGGCGGGGCACTGCGGCCGGGCGCAGCCCTCCGCAGGCCTGCACGTGGCCGGGCTTCCTCGTCACTGAGACTCAAGACGGACACCCCACGCCGGGCAGGAGGCGCGGGGCTGTTCCGGAACGTGGGCTGTGGCTGCGGGCGTGTTTGCTCACCACTACAGATGCCCACCAGAGCTGAGCGGCGGGGGGCCGCCTCCCCCCAGGCCCCCGCCCCGGCGGCAGGGGTCTCCGCCCAGAGCAAGGCAAAGCCGAGCGGGGGCGGGCGCGGCCGAGGCAGGTCGGAGCAGGCCGGCGTCCCAGGGGAGGCGTGAAGACACCAGAGACGGCTCTGCGGAACCTCGTCACCCTCACAGTGAAGGTGCCGAGGCCGACGCAGGCGGCGTCTCCAGCTCTGAGCCCCACCAGCCCGAGATGGAGGCGCAGGTCCTGCGGGGTTCCCGCCCCAGGTGCTCCCTAAGAAGAGGCCGAGCGCGGCCGGCCCGGGGACAGCAGCACACAGCTGCCTGGGGGAGAATGGGCCCCCCCGTGCAGGGCCACTTACACGGCCTGGACGCCCCACGGCTGACAGGCTGATGCCAGCGACACCCTGAAAACTGATGGTGACACTCGGGCCTGCGCTGGCCCCGCGAGCCCCGAGGAGAGCGTTCCTCAGGCTGCTGTCTGTTCAAAGGCTGCGCTCAAAATGGTTCTTTTGGTGGGGAGCGGTCTGGGAAGGGGGCAGCGGAAGGAAAGGAGACCCGATTCCTAGCAACGCTGTCGACTGCGGTGGGTGACTCGGGGCCGCGTGCTCTGCACGGATCACACCCCGGCGTCGGGGCCTCCGCGTCAGGGAGGTTTACACGTCAGCTATAGAGGGACCGGGCACCCGGCCTAGAAGGTGTCAAGTTCATTCGAGCCCTTTTAAAGTGCCCTCATTGCCAGGGAATCAGAAGTCAGGTTCCAGACTGCAGCCCCGGGACAGTCACCCATCACGCCCAGGCTCAGGCCTCGTGCAGGGAGGAGGGGCTGCGGTTTCATAAACCACCCTGGCGACTGCAATGGAGCCGGACTTCTTACTGCTCAGGTTGGTCTGTTTTGAAAGCCAAATGTGCTACTTTTAAGATCTCATATACATGTGAGACAGCTGTCTTTCTAAAGCCCTCCTTTCTGAGAGAGACATAAAATGTAATCCAAAAGCTAAGAAGATAAACTGAGAGGAAAAGTACGATTATATTCCAGCTTCTGTCACTTCTCATGCATCGCCCTCGACTGGCTTAAACAAAGTGAACCCCTTAATCCTTTTACAATCCTTTAAAATAAAATGTCTTGCCGTCATATCGAATTAATCCTACAAGTTCAGCTCCAGCTTTTCACACGTGTGCTCGGCTGGAGGGCTGCTTTCCTAAGTGACTTCCCACGCGACGAGAGCGCTTACCTTTTGAATGGCTCCTTTACAGTCATGAGACAGGGCCAGGTTGGAAAGAAACGTGAAGACCATCTGCTGGACGGTGGTGTTCTCGAGGGGCATCTGGGAGGCCAACTTGAGGACACTCTGCATCAGCGAGCTGCCGGGGGGCCCTCGAGCGGCGGCGTGGACAGGATTCTGCCCGGAACTCGACCAGCAGAGAGAACTGCAACCTTCAAGCGAAACCCCACCAATGCCTGTTTCACTGTCAGTGTTTACAAATCCTAAACGGCAAGGCCTCCGTCAGATGGCGTGGCCGGTAAGCTGTGCGCTGGGCTGGGCAGGAGGCCGCCTATGCTGGCCGCATTCCACCCCGTGGGTCACTGCTCTCATGAAGGGCCTGCCGGTGTCGGCAAGCATCTCAAACACCGGCTGTAAGGACTAAAGTGAGCAAAACAGACTTTAACAGTTGTGCAAGAAGACATCTAAGGAGGGGCGTGCTGAAGGACAGAAGTTTAGGAATGGAAGACAACTTAGCCGAAGACCTTTATCCCACAGAAGAAAACGAAACGAGAGCCCGACACTCCCGCCGGGCGGCCGGTCAGCCGTGCCCACACGAGGGCGCGCGGAGAGCTCGGGGCCGCTGCCCGCGGTCACGCACGCTGGCAGCAGCGCCCCGAGCCCGCTCGCTGGGCACGGAGGGAGGTGGACAGACATACATGCGGTGGCCTCTCCTGGATTCGCACGGGCAGCAGCGTGCAGACCGCACAGGCCGTGACTTACAGAAACTGTTGCTAACTGATGCAGTTCGCTTGGAAACAAACCGGGCAGGACAGTGAGAATTTCCTCCTCGATCTGGTGACCTGACCGATACTCTCACACTGACACCCAGCCCAGGTGCGAGGGTAACTCAGATTCGTTTCCAGGACGGAGGCCAGACTATCGGCGCCCTTTGCTCCGGCTGAACAACAGGCGGGGTGAGCTGGAGGCGGCGGCGAGGCCTCGGGCAGCGGCGCGGGCCGCGCCCGCTCCGGCCCCGTCTCCCGCGA